CTGCATGTTCCCATGCCGTCCTTGATGAGCCTGATGTGAGTGGCCTGAGGGCCTCACTCGAGAAAGGCTTTAGAGAAAATGGTCTGTCCTTGGCATTTCCCTTCCGCTCTGGCTCCCCTCCGCGGAGAAAGCCGCCTGTTGCCAAGGCCTCCATACTTGTTTGGTTCTTGTCTTTTCTAGGGCGCCTTCTCTTTGCCTGTCACCCACTTAAACAGACCTTCCAGGAGGCCCTGCTTTGGCCAGTGCCAGGGGGTGCTGCGTGAAGGTTTAGTGGAGGCGTTTCAGAACCCTGTCCTGTTGTTCTGGAAGACCCTGAGCAGAGGTCAGGACAAGGGTCATGTGTGGGTCTGAGATTGCTTCTCTTGGGCTTAGGATGTGACCCGAGTGCCCCGGCCCTGCACGTGCCCTGGGGGGTGGGATGGGAACCAGGCGTGGAGTGGGCTCTGCCTGCCTTTCCCCTTCTCACCTTCGGGAGCTGGGTGGGAGCTGCCCGGTGGGCACTGAGGGGACTTCAAGGGATTGATCGGAACTAACACAGAGGTCTTTGTCAGGGACACTTGATCCGATCCACAGCTCCTGGAGGGGGGACCGGATCTCGACCTGAGCGGTGAGTGGTTGTGCTGCCTGGAGCACGTGCGGCTGCGTGTGCCAGGCCTGAGGCTGAGGGCCTGGCTGTCCTGCGAGGCATGGACTGAGCTTGCTGGAAGCCAGCTTACCCAGGCTGGGGCTGGGGGTGGGTGGGAGGTAGGTGCTGACCCTGGGCTAGGGGTAGGGGAGTGGGAGGTCGGTGCATTCACACTTATCTGTGGGAAGGCCCGGCCTGGGCCCATGTGGGTGTCCCTCTGCCCAGAGCAACCGGGTGACTGTCTGCAGTTCTCACCTCCTTTGTGTTGGTCATGATGTCATAACCGGGCCCTTCACTTAATCTTAACCGCTTCCTTTTTTGCAGGAGGCTCAAAGGTTTGTTTTATGTTTTTTTTTAACTTTTTTTGGGATAGTGGAAGCATACTAACCCCATGGTTTGGTTTTGTCAGTAGTTCTCTAGGCCTGGGGGGCTGCCTCTTTCATTTGTAAAATGGGATAGAGCCCCCACTCTGGCGGGGTTGGGGGAGGGGGACCCAATAGGCAAGGATGCTGCTCTTTGCTAAGGTAGGATGCGGGACGACTGTTGTGTGAGTGGCCCATGCGTGTGTGTGCTCCTGACCCTGTGAGTGTGTGTGTGTGAACGGCCCATGCGTGTGTGTGCTCCTGACCCTGTGAGTGTGTGTGTGTGAGCGGCCCATGCGTGTGTGTGCTCCTGACCCTGTGTGTGTGAGTGTATGTTTATATGTGGGTGTGTGCGTGTGTGTGTGTGTGAGTGTATGTGTATGAGAGTGTATGTATCATGTGAGTATATGTGTGTGTGAGTGTGGTGTATATGTATGTGTATGAGTGTGTATGTGTGAGTGTGTATATATATGTGTGAGTGGGCATGTGTGTCTGTGCGTTCCCCTTGGAGAAACACATATACCTTAGTGGGCGTCCCAACCCCGCTGCAAGCAGGGCTGGTAGAGGGGTGAAGCAGGTCCCGTTTGGTACCAACCTCCCTGTGAGGTCCTCCTATTTGCTCCTCCCCTTGCGAGGGTGGTCTTGGTCTGCAGGGGCCTGGCACGGCTGCTAGGTTACCTGTCCAAGCAGGGGAAGATGTTTGCCCTCGAGTCCCAGCCCTGGGACTCCCAGTCTCCTCCATCATGGGCATGGCCCCCTCCCGCCATCCCAGGCCCCCTCTGTGGGAAAGGCACCTTTTTGTGAGTTCACTTTAAAGGATTTGGGGACCCCAAGAAGAGTGTTGCTTGGCATCAGAAGGGGGTTTTAGAAACCACCGTCCCTTGAAGATTGAGTCTTGCCGTCCTTGACCCCCCATTCCCATGGCCCCATTCAGAGGATGGGAGAACAGGCCCACGGTGGACAGCCACCCACTTAGGTGACCTAGCACCTCGGGGTTGGGGCTTGGGACCCAAGGTCAGCATGCATCAGGGGGACAGAGCCTGCTGTGCTGACTAGTTGAGGGGATGCTGCAGGTCTTGCTGCTGAGTCCCTGGCCTTGAAGCACGGGACCCTGCCAGTGATCTCTTGGGGCTGCAGTTGGGGCAGTATGCTGGGACAGACAGATAGACAGACATGGTGCCCTTGGGCTCCTGGAGCCACTGTGATGTTGGCTGTTTGGGGGGACCTTCACTGGGTTCCCGACTGTAGCTGTGCTCAGGTGTGGATGGAGTGTCCCGGGGCTAGAGGACACAGGCCACTGGAGAGGGGCCAAGTCCTGGCTCTGCCCCCAACTTGTTCTGTGGCCACCAGCCTGTTGCTTGCCCTCTCTGGGCCTTGGTTTGCCCCCATTTATTTTAAATAAGTGACATGAGAACTCCAGGGATGAAGAGGTTTATTAGTGACCCTTCGGAATTCTCCCAGCAGCCTCCATGGGTCTGAGTGACAGACTGGGAAACTGAGGCTTGGAGAGGGGCAGTGTGCAGCCAGGTGGGAGTGGGGCTACCTTTTCAGGAACTTCATTGTTAGGTAGGAGAGTCCAAGAGAGTTGCTGCGCCCCTGACTTTGAATCTCGGGATCCTGACCATGATCTCTGGGTACTTCTGTCAGGGGTAGATTCCTTGAACAGACAGACAGGTGGGCATGTGGCCCATCACCCCTTTGGGACCTGGGAAGGCACAGGGCAAGAGAGCTGTATCAGTGGGACACAGCCAAGCCCCAATGCTGGGGGGTGGCTCTGGGCAGGGCCCTGTCTGTGCTCTGGAACCCAGGTGCACACAGAGGTCGGCGTGGGGTGGGAGGAGGAGTTCAGGCTCCCTGGGCCTGGGGAGATGCGTGCTCTGGGGTCAGTGAGGGAAATAGCTAGTTCAAGGCCACGCTGTGGAGGGGGAGGGGACCACCCTGTCCAGGTTGGTTAGCTCCTAACCTTGAACCCAGATATCTGGGGTGATCTCAGGGTGCCTGGTTGGAGATTCTGCTGCTCAGTGTGTAGGACCCACAGGCACGGGCCTCTGTGTAGTCACCCCTCTGCAGCTGAGGCCCAAGTTCACACCTGGAGGGAGGGTTCATGTTCTTTCCCCTCTGCCCCAGTGCAGAGGCCCATCCCCGGGGGGGGGTGAGAACCAGGTTCTGGGCGGTGTGCCCCTCACCCCTCCGGGGGCGTGTGTGTATGTGGGTGTATGCTTGAGTGCACGCGTGTGTGTGGCTCGATGGGTGTGTGTGGCATGGTGAGCTGTGTGAACTGAAAGTGAGTAAGAGCGATGCCCCCTCCCTGTGCTCTCCTGGGGACCCCTCCTGGGGACAGAGCACTCCAGACGTCCAGGGCTCATACGGAGAGCGGTGCTCTGAAATGGGGACCAGGGCCTTCTCCATGGGGTGTGAGGGCCATTTGCTTGAGGCCAAGGCTCCACGGCACCCAAGCCCTCTGACTTGGGGCGTAGACCCAGCCTGCCCACCCCTCCTTTCTCCCATGAGAAGAACACCAGCCTGGGCACAGGTGGGAGCATGGGTCACTGGGCTCCCTGCTCGGAGCCCTCAGGAAGGACAGCTCCCAGTGCCCCCCTCTGCACCCCTCCCCAGGTCCTCCCTGGGGGGATAGGTACCAGAAGTCAGCCTTGGCAGGGGGTGGAGCGTTCCCAAGGCAGAGGGAACGACCAGAGTCACATCTCTGGGGCGACAGGTAGTCACTTCTGTGAAAGGCCTCCCGATTGTCTGCCAGTCCCTGGACGGGGCCTGTTTTTGGGGAAAGCCCATGGCTGGCCTCCGAAAGCTAAGCCCTTCCTGGCCTGCCCTGCCTGACCCCCACCCTGCCTCCCCCTGCCCCACCCGCCCCTTGCCCTCCCACTCCACCTGCCCCCATCTTACTTGCCCCTTGCCCTGTCTATCCTACCTGCCCCCTACCCTGCCTGCCCCCACCTCACTTGCCCCCTTACCCTCACCCCACCTTCGCAGAAGAAGCCAGCAAGCCAGATACTCTTTTATTTTGCTTTATTTAAGGAGAAAGTGTATAAATGTACAGGGGGTGAGAACGAGGGGAAGGAGAGAGGGTCTCTTCCTCATGGCAAAGGGCAGTGGCCTGGTCAGGACCTCTCAGCTGCTCAGCACAGTCTGCTGCATCTCGGGGTCTTCACCAGTCTCTCGGAGCCCCTTCCCCTTTATCTTGGGGCCTGGGTCCCGGGGCTGTCTGTGTTGGGAGGGGTAGAGCAAGCCCCTCAAGGGCAGTCACCCAGTCAGTGTCCGGTGACCTCTGGGTCCCCGATGTCAAGTCCGGTAAGTGGCAGTCACACTGGTACGTCGGGACAGTCCTGGAGCGTCCAGGTAAGAACTCAGACACACTTTCTTGGTCTCAGGTCCAGAGCAGGGTCAGAGAGCTGAGCCAGGCGGTGGGAGGCGGCTTGCTTTGCAGGGTGGGCTGGGGAGGCAACACGGCACACCATGAGTCTCGGGTGGCGGGCGGGGGAGTGGGGAAGCCCAGGGAAGCAGGAACTGTGGATACGCCATGGCCAGGAGCACCGGTGACGGAGGTAGAAGCAGTCAGTGGAGCACCCGAGGTCAGTGTCCCAGGATGACACGGTGGCCAGCGCACCTGGCCCCTGCTTGCTTGGCTGCGTCTGTTTTGCCTGCTGCTTCACCTGACCTGGGGTCATGGGGTCATTCTCTGCTCATCACTGCTTTCTCCTGTCATTGATCACACTCCCAGTTGTGGGCCTGGGACCTGGAGAATTAAGACGGTGGGGTTGTGTAGCCCTGAGACTGGCTCTGGGCCTCTGATGGTTCGTGGTCCATAGGTGTTGATGGTACTGCTGGTGTATGACGAGTTGGCCTTCACAAGTGGGCTCCCCTGGGGCCAGGAGCGGCAGGGAGGGAGCGCTGGGTCTGAGCTAAGCAAGTAGAGGCACAGGGAGCTTGGAGGAGACACTGTGGGCGTGTCAGGAGCAGAGGGGGCAAGGCGGCGCCTCACTGGACAGCAGGTGTTTTCAGTCGAGGTCTGTGTCTTCATTGTCATTGGGTAGTTCTTCCAGGCTTGCTTCTTCCTTGGGTGGGCTCGCCCGCACAGTGCTGGGGGCAGCCTGGGCTCTCGTCACCCTCAGAAAACGAATCAGGAGCCTGGCCAGCAGCCCCCGAGTGAGCAGGCCTGGCCGCCCTTCAGCAGCTCGAGCGTGGCGCAGGAGGGCAAGGATGGCGGGGTGGGCCTGGCTGTGTCGCGGGATGGGGAGGGCCACAGTGGCGGTGTCCCTCGGCAGGGCCTCTTGCACAGCGCTCTCTTGTTCGTCCTGCGGGGTGTCTTGCAGGCCGTCATGCAGGCCACCTTGACGGTAACGTTGCAGGTCGCCCTGCCGGGCTTCTCGCAAGACGACATTCTCATCGTTAATGACGTGCAATTCCAGGTAGCGTTGCTCGCGTGGGACCGGGTAGCTTTCCTCTCCGGGGGTGAGTCTGACACCAAAGAACTCACACAGCATCAGCCAGAAGCCGGGGGTCAGCTGCAGGCCTCGGTAGTCCTGGGGGCACAGGGCGTTGCTCTGCCAGTGGCCAGGGCCCAGGAACAGCTCTGCCAGCTCTTGGGATGGGATGGTGTTGGCACCCACGAGGGGTGGCATCTGGATGAGGAGATCAGCTATGGCGGTGGCCATGCCACTGCTGGCGATGAGGGACGAGTCCAGGATGAGGCGCATTGGGAGCCTGGGTCGGGGCTGAGCCACTAATGGGGCTGATGCCATTAGCTGCTGGAGGCATGGCCTCAGCTTGAGCAGCAGAAGGATGGTGGCCAGGGCCAGGGTGTTCTGCCAGAGCAGGAGGCTCCGTAAGAAGTGCAGAACGACCGCTCTCACCTGGGCAGCACCAAGTTGGATGAGGAAGGTGTTGATTATTTGGTCAATTGGTAGCAGAGCCAGTATCTCCTGCTGGCCGTCCTGCCCACTTGGCTGGCCCTGGTGTAGTGCATCTCCGTTCTCCCCTTCTTGCCGGGATGCTGATACCTGGCCACTCGGGAATGCCGTGGTGGAGAACAGCAGCAGGGGCTGAGCTTCCAGGCGGTGGCTCCTGTGAGGCAGCCGCACCCGGTGGCCATCTTGGATTGGCCACTCCATGACGTCAAAGTTGAAGTGGGAGAAGAAGAAGACCCAATGCCCGGGGAGAAGTACGGTGAGCCTGTCATTATTCAGAGAGGCTAGATCCTCTGTGTTGAGAAGGATCATGATGGGCTCCTCGGTGTTCTCCAGGTAGCGGCACCACACCGTGAAGGCAGCCCGTATGGGGAGGATCCTCATCTCCAGTCGAGAGTAGTCGTCTTCGATAGGCGAGATGTTTCGGGAGTAGAAAGCACAGTAGACCTTTTTACCAGTCTGGTCATCTACTTGGATCAGGGCAGCGTGTATGGACGTCTTGGTGATGCCGGTCTCCAAGAAGAAGGGGTTCTGGGGCTTTGGGTGGTGGAGAAGGGGCGCCTTCCGGAAAGCCCTCTTCAGGCACTCGAAGGCCTCTTGCTCCTCATCGCCCCAGTAGAAGCCCCGGTTGTAGAGCAGCTGTCGAAGGAGGGGCTCAATGACGATGATGAAGCGCTCAACAAAGTGCCGGTAGGGGAAGACGAATTCTATCAGGTGTCGCAGGGACTTCTTAGAACCAGGGATGGGGTACCCTGTCACGGTGGTGACGATGCTTTTATTCAGCTTTACCCCTTTGGGGGTGATGACGAATCCCAGGAATTCGATGGTATTTCTGTGGAACTGGCTCCTGTCCAGGGAGCAGTAGATGTTGTGCCTCCGGAAGCGGACCAGGACTTGGCGAACATGGTGGGGGTGTTCCTCTTGACTCATTGAGTAGATCAGGACATCCCGCCCATAAGAGAGCACGAAGTAACCTAGCATGCCCTGGAGGATGTAGTGAATCACGCTCTGAGGTATGATAGGGTCTGAGGAGATCTGGAAAGGCTGGTAACTGTTCATCTCTGGAAACTCCAACCCGAATGCTGCTCTCCATACGTCTTCTGCTTGGTGTATTTTCATGCTTTCCTCCACAATGGTCCCACGCAGCTCCAGTTTTGTGAACCATGTAGCTCCGTGTAACTGGTCAAACAGTTCTGGAATCATCTGTATGTAGTCCTGTCTGTTGGTCAGCATGTCTCGCGGGTCCCAGTAGTCATCGTGCAGCCTGGCTCTGTCTTGCATCCCAGTACCTACAGGTTCCCACGACGCAGTGGAGGGGCATTCGTAAAAGACCTCATCGTGATCACTGTCTCCAGCCTGCTGAAGCTCAGAGGGCTCTGATTCAGAAAGATCATCGGATCCGTCTGAGCTTGGCTGGTCGGAAGTCTCATCATCTGCTTCTTTCGGGTTAAACACGTCGGCCAGGTCGGAGTATGGGGGCGGCAGTCCGGGGAGCAGGCTCAGGCCTTGTCTTTCCAGCGCGATGCATGGCGGGGGTGGGCGGAAGCAGTTCTGCAGGCAGTAGGGAGAGTGGAAGGTGCAGCGGCCTTTGATCCAGTCCACTTCGGGGGTGTGCGTTCGGAGCCAGTCAACGCCTAAGATCACGGAGAAGTTGGGTGAAGGAATGATGTCAAATTCGATGTACTCCTGGTGGTTCTGATGGATGCATACCAGGGGTTCAGTGTAGAGCCACACAGGCTCGTCGCCAATCAGTGAGCCGTCCATGGTTTGGATTTGCTGGGGGTATGGCTTCTCGTAGAGCTCCACGTAGTGCTCTTGGGCAAACCGCTCATCCATGAAGTTGGAGCCTGCCCCTGAGTCGACCAGGGCCTGGACTGCAACACTGTGGTAGGGGCTGACTCTCACCATGAGCAGCAGAAAGATGTGGGCCCTCTCGATGGTGGGATGGACATCAGAGGGCAACCAGCTGCTCACCATCCACCTCTCTGGAGAAGGTGAGTCGATCCAGGTCAGGTTGCGTGGGCGGGCTTCTGGAGGCAGCCTGAGTAGCGCTCTTCTCTCTGCCAGCTTCTCTTCTATTTGCAGGACGAGCACAATCAGGCTCTCCAGACTGTCTGGCTGAGGAACCCGGAACAAATAGTGCCTGATCTCCTCGTTGAGCCCTTGGCACAGGTGGGCCTGCAGGACTTCGTCTGGCCAGCCCAGGATGGGCACCAGACTCCGGAACTCATTGATGTAGGCTGCAGCAGGGCGATTCCTCTGCTTGATGTTGAACATGGCCTCTTCAGCCATTCGAAGTGCCTGCCGGTACTCAAACACACTGGACATGGCCCCCAGGAAGCCCGAGAAGTCACTTATCAGAGGACTGTCATCCTGCAGGAGAACCTTGGCCCAGTCTAAGGCCAAGCCAGAGAGGTGAGTGATAACGTACCCAACGCGCAGCCGGTCATTGGAGAACATCCTTGGGTAGTTTTGTAAGATCAGTTGGCAGAGAACAATGAACTCGCGATATTCTCTGCGATCACCAGTGAAGGGTAATGGGAGAGGCAGTTGGCCATTGTGGATCCCATTCATCAAGATCTCTTCTGCCACTCTTTGTTGTTCTCTGAGGTCTTGCATCTGGTAGTACAGAGAGGTAATGGAACTCACTGCGGCCAGCATCTCTTCCTCAGAGAACTTCCCTAGGTTTTGCTCGTCGGTATCCTGATCGTCGCTAGATTCAGACAGGTCAGTGTCGCTCTCTTGCTCATCCTGGGCTCCACGTGGGTTGACTGATGGTTCTTCCATTCTACCAGATGTTTCATTGCGTGGATCCCCCATTTCCTGGCGTGAACCATTGCATGACTCCTCCATGTCTTGGAGTAGGTCATTGGGTGGATCCTCTATTTCCTGATGTGGGCCACTGGATGGCTCCTCCATGTCTTGGAGTAGATCAATGGGCAGCTCTTCCATTTCCTGGAGTGAGCCACTGGGTGGCTCTTTTCTTTCCTGGGATGGGCCACTGGCTGGCTCCAACGCTTCCTGCACTTGGCTGCCAGATGTCTCCACAGTGGTGTTGGATGAGCCCTCGGAGGACTCCATTTGTTTTGATGATGGATTCTTATGCTCCATCATCGTCTCAAATGAGTCTTCAGAGGGTTCTATCATTTCTTCGGATGGAAAAGAATAGATTCTGAAGACTGGTAAGGTGGCGGTGTGTCCCGTCAGCAACAGGGACCACGGAGATCAGAACCTGGGGGTGGGGTGGGCAGGGTGGGGGTGGGGAGTAAAGGTAGCAGTTTAGGGTCTCAACAAGCTCAGGGTCAAGTTCTCAAAAATCAGAAGCCCAAATGATCAGAGCAGAGAGAAATTGGGTCCGCGTCAGCCTCCTCAACTGGCCACTTGGGAGAGACTGTAAAAATCTGCCAGCCCCTGACCTGGCTCCCAGGATCCGTCTCCTGGCCTGCCTGGGGATGTGAGAAATTCACAGCCCATAAATTCTGTGGCGTGACTGACCTGGAGTGGCCACCATGGCAGGAGGGCACCTGGTAGAATGTGCCAGTGGCTTCATTTCACACCGCCCCATATGCCTGACGAAGCCTCCTTCCCTTTTTGGCCACCCAAAAGCCATAGAGGTCACATCTGAGCGCTATCCAAAGCCACCCTGGCAGGCCCGGCACTCTGGAGCAAGCCCAGGCTGTGTTTGTGGGGGCAGGAATCTCCCCCAGTGATGCCAGCTCTTTAACACGTTCATGGAGAAGGATAAAATGCCACTTGGCCTTTCTCCTGCCAGTTGGATTAACGGCCCAAAATAGCTTTTATTTCCTTCCCCGAGCTCAAAGTAGGAATTTGACAGGGAGATAGAGGTCCAGATTCAGGCTTTTTATTTTTCACTTTTTTCCGTAGATGCTTACAAACACCTACTATGTGCTGGAATAGTTACACGTTTATTACTTGAGTCTAACTAGGAATTTCTGCTGATTTCTCTTCAATTCTTTGGATCCCCTTCTAATGCCATGTTCACTCCAGCGCTCAGCTGTTGAGGAGGTCTTCAGATATCCCCCCCGCCTAAATGTTTCCCCCATCCCCACCCCATAATCTCCACTCTGCCAAGATTGGCCTCTTAGTCCGTGGGGATTCAGGAATTTCAAACCACTGACCCCCATCTTACACCTGCAGCCATACTGACATGCTCCCCGAGTATTTTCTCTCCAAGCCCGCTTGTTTATGAGGTGAGTCTGGTCTCCTCACTCTTCGGCAAAGACCCTTTTCTGTCTGTCACTGATTAGTCCCTCCTCTCCACCTTATAGGGGTGCATCGGGCAGAATAGGGTTGGGATCTTGTGTTGAGGGAGGGAAGGCATGAGATGTATTTGAAATGTGATTGTCTGGAAAGGATTTGTGCAAAGCCAGTGATGGGGGGGTGGGGGTCAGAGTGTGCTGAGACCTCAGTTTGAGGAGAGGTGTTGGTTGAGGTTTTTTGCACATTTCTTCTTCTCTGCTGGGGCAAAGCGAATTGAACTCTGACTATAGAATAGGTTAGCTCCGTTGTTACTGCTCTTTATAAATTGAACACCTTTTGTTACCTCTCGGTTCTCTTCTTAGCCATCAAGCTGATCTATAAAAAAAGTGCATTCTTTTTTGTAAAACTCTTCATTGGCTAAAATCCAGACTCTCTAGCCAGAAACAAAATCCTGATCTGTTGTTTCTCAAAGTTAAATACACCCTTGTTAGTGTGACACTTAAATTTGATCATGATTAAAACCTTTCTCTGTTTATTTACTGTCTGCAATATTAAATCTAAATACTTTAGCATAAAAACATTTGACATGTAACTGACCTGAACTCATTCTCTGGTGAAAATTTAAAGGCTTTAGCATAATTCAAAATTCTGATCACATCATTCCTTAATGTACAATTACATTTTTAAAAAATAGCATGGTGTACAGATCAGGTAAAATCATCACGATCATCATTGTCAGCATCACAATACCATATACATAGCATATTGTCTATATTAACTCATTTCCTTTTCACAAAAGTCCTGTAAACTGTATAATGTTATTATCATACTGTAAATCCCATTTCTTATATAAAATCCTCATGTCTTAGTATGAAAGACAAAATTTGACACAGCAACTTGTCTGCAGACTCATCTATTAGTAAAAATCTAACCAAGTTTCTCACCAAAAATCCATTATTGCCTGAAACTTAGATGCCTTAGCACGATGATTTAAAAATTAGGTTCTCTGCTTAAAATAGAATCTATGCTTCTTAGCGTATTTACAGATTTGATCGTGGAACTCTGATGGAATCTTTCAGCTTTCCTGTCTTCCACCTGAAATCTAAAATCTTGGACACGTCACAAAAACCTGATCTGAAAACTCCTTTACACGAAAGTCAAACTTTTAACGAGACGCATCAAAGTTATCCAATAATGCCTCTATTTAAAACTTACAAAAGTTTTCTTTCATTACCTATCATATGAAGTTCCAACTGCTTAGCATAAAAATAAAAAGTTTACCTTGTAATTTTCTTGCAGACTGATTGATATAAAACCAGAAATCTCACTAGATCACTCCTTAAGCTCTATTGGCTTCAATCCAAATTTCTTCACATGATAAAAAAAAAATTTGATCATGTCGTTATTTAAAAGGTCACACTTCAGCAAGATAGGTGAACTTGATCTTGTAACTTGTGCTTTAAAGCCTTATATGAGCTCTTAATGACCTATGGGAAAAGGTCCAAGCTCCTTAGCATAAAATACGTATCTTGCTACATCATTTCTCTGCAGACTGTTCTTTCACACACATGTCACACTTTTAAGATCCCTTAATGGCTAGAATCCAAATTCCTTAGCGTGGCACAACAATGCAATCCTGTCACTCCTCAAAATAACATCCAAACTTCCTAGCGTGTTATGTAAATTCAGTCATAGAACTGCTCTGCGGAAGGAAGACCTGCCTCGTCTCTATACGACAGCCTGCAATAAAAGATCAAACTGCTCCGCATATAGTCCAGCGGGTGCCTGGGTCCCAAGGGACCTGTGGGTGCTCACTTTGTCTCCTTCATTAAATCCAGACCTCTTAGCATAAAATATGTTTCACCGTCTCATTCCTCTGTAGACTACACTCCTTAACTCCCTTGACTGGCTAATATCCCTACTGTTCCTCTACTTGAGAGCTCAAACCTGAGACCATGCCCTTCTTTGTAAGGAAATGCTCCAGCGCCTTCAGTTCTCACATACAACCCCATCTCCTTGGCGTGCTATAAAAATCTGAACGTATTATCTTCACCATAAAAACCCATTCTTTAAGCTATACAAAAAGGCATAAATTTGATCAAAATTTTCAAAGTTTCTTCATTGCCTGTAACATAAAGTTCCAATTGCTTAACATAAAACAAAAACTAAACTATAAAAAAAAAAACAAAAACAAAACCATGTGTCTCATCCTGCAGTGCCTTTAAAGCCGTCCTTGGCTTAAATCCAAACTTGTTAGCGTGATATAAAATTTTTGATCATGTTAGCCCTTAAAATTCACACTTCCCCGCACACTATATAAAATTTGATCTCATAACTGCGCCTTGAAACCTTACAATTTCTCATGAAAAACGTCCAAATTCCTTAGCATAAGATGAGAACTTTATTTTGTAATTCTCTGCATACTCTTGTATCAGACACATGCAAAAAATAAATAAATCAATAAACAACTCACCATGTCACTCCCTTAAAACTTTTTATTGGCTAAAATCAAAATCCTAGGCACGAGCGAAAATCTAATCATGTCAGAACTGAAAAAGAAATTGCACAAATTTCTTTACATATTTGCGATGTTGGTTGTGTAACTCCTCTGATTAAAATCTTTCAACTTTGATGTCTTCAGTATCAGTCAGATCTCCTCGGTGTGCTCAGAAGATCTGACTCTGGCAACCCCTCAACATATAAAATGTTTTAGCAGTTACTTGAATTTGTGGCTGTTACCCTTCTATTTATAATTTTTCAATATTTCTTCAGTGCCTGTAATCTAAAGTCCAGAACTGTTAGCCTTCAAATACATTTTCCCATGTTATTTTACTTAGCTCCCACGGGCAAAAAAACCTCATCTCCACAGTTCTTAAAAGCCACTGGCAAGTGCCCAAACTCCTTCGCATGATATAAGAGCTTCATCCTGTCACCCTCAAAATACAGTCCAGATTTCTTCTTCTCAAACCCAAACCCATTCATGAAACCACCGCGTAAAATCTTTTAATGCATTTTCATCACTAACAAAAATCTCAACCTCTTAGCATGGCACCCAGATTTCATCATGATACTCTTGGCTTAAAACCTTTCTAATTTCACGTCCACCACATAAAATCCAAACCGCCTTAGCATGGAATGAAAACTGGCCCGAATATTTCTTGTATGCAAAATCTCCATATTACTTTTTGTTGCTTATGACATAAAGTCTTCAATTCCTTGCATGAAACCCACACACGGTTCCTAGCGTCAGGTCCTGGCCCCTCATCTCATTTTACTCCGCAAAGACTGAATGTCTCTCTTCTCATCCCCAAACACATCTTGATTGTATTGTACCCATGTCTTTTTATTTCTTAAGCCAGTCCCTCTGCCTAGAATTCATGAATTTGCTCTGCGGCATGTCCTGATTTTTTTTTTTTCCAGGCCAGGCGCTGTGCTAGACCCCCTCCCCAGTGCCAAGAGATGGACCGAGCCCTCCCATGCATGCAGGACCTCCCAGGGAGGCATGAGGACCCTGCCCACCTGCATGAGGTGAGCACAGGGGGCTTGGGGTCAGGGGGAAGGGGTTTCTCCTACACCTGCTGGCCAGCTCCTTGGAGCCTTGGCTCAGGTGCCATCCCGTTGGGTGGCTTGGGGCATTGTGGGGGCAGTCACTTCCCAAGGTAGGACCTGCACTCCCTGGGCACTTTGTTGGTGCCTCTGTCTTTCCACTTCCCTCATTCCATGGCCTCATAGCTCATAGGCTTCCTGGCTGACTCCCATCCCACCTGCCCACGTGCCCACCTGCCCGCACCCAGCACAGGGGCTGCCTTGGCATCCCCTCCAGCCTCTCTGGAAGTCATGTTCTCAGCTCTCCCGATGTGGCTCAGTGTTGATTTCTCGAGCCTGATGGCAATTTCTTTAAGAAATATCTATTGATTTGGAAATTC